ACATATAGGAACGTGTGGTAGACCGCATACGACATATAAGAACGTGCGGTAGACCACATACGACAAGATTACCTAAAAAAATGTACCAATTAAAAACAAAAAAAATATTGTCATATTCAAAGTTAATTAATTAGGTAGTTCTTAATTGTAATTTTGTATAACATATCTAGATAGTTTTGATTGAGTTCTAATTGTATAAGTTGATTATAGTTAAATGAAATTTTTGTTAAATTCAAACATCCTATTTATTGTAAATATATACCTATGTGTTCTGTTTAATTAAATTTTAATTTTTTTTAATCATTTCATTTACCAATTTTTATAAAATTATAAGTAGTGACATCATTATTTTAAAAGCTTCATCTTATTTGAAATTATCTTCATTAATTATTCCCTCTCAGAAAAAAAATTTGCCACAAATTATAATGTTATGTTCAACAATTATAAATTTACTATTTTTAGGCAGATCTAAATTAGCTAGCGTTCCAACTGGTGCTGCTGTAGCRGCGCCCACTGGAGCTGGAGCTGCAGTGCCAGCAGCTTCTGAAGAAAAAGGTTAGTTTATTAAATATTAATCTTTTTACATCATTATACATGACTATAATCCCCAATTTTAATTTCATTCTTGTAGCTACCAAAAAAGAGGAAAAGAAAGAAGAATCCGACAATGAATCTGATGATGATATGGGCTTCGGACTATTCAACTAAGATTAATCTGTAAGTTTTTAACCATTATATGATTTTTATTAAATTGGTTGTAAAATTAAGTACCTAATTTAGGCTCTAGTAGCTTATTGTTAAATAACTTAAACCTTCAAAGGGTGTTCTAAAAACTATTAATATTTAATTTAAGATAGTAAAATGTTTATATTATTGAATACAATTAAAGTGTACATTGATTAAGATAATTACTTATGTAATATAATGATTTTTTATTAAGACAAATATTTTACTGCAAAATTTTGTTAAGTCCGTAGTAAATTAATCTGATAAGGTTTAAAATTAATTTCATTTTCATTTTAAAATCAGAAATTCAATTATTAAATAGATTTTGAAGTAAAATATTGAACTTAGGGTGTTAAGCTTATGAGGAAATTTATGCAAGCACTAGTGGGTTATTGTTGAATCAATACCATTAACTTTCCTAAGGACTTGCAAAAGAAAACAATCATTTGATTTGAGTTTGTCAGTATTCACATATATTTATAATATTAGGTGAATGTGAACATTATGATTAATCAGTTATTGTTAATTGTATAATTTATTGTTTGAATAATAACCTGCCAAATCTCATTTGCAATTTTTTTTTAGTAAAATACATATTTCTGAGCATCAAGAATTTTTAGAGGCATTAGTCATGCATTAGTAATGATGTTGTACCATTATCTTAGTACCGTTAATATATTATTTCTATAAGTTACTAAATGTATTAACTTAAATAAATTGTCAAGTYAAATTATATTTAGTATGTATAATCTAAAATGCTTTGTATTAAATTGTAAATAATTACCATTGGTTTAATGTGAACTTTTATTTTGCAGATTTTCCTGGCTATTTTTTGTACTTCTGAGAATGATGGTTAAATAAATCAATTATTTTAATTGTATGTTTGAATTTCTTATCCCATTAGTCATATCTTATGTATCCTAGTGATTGGTCATACTGATAAATGTGTTACATAACATATTAAAATACTATAACCGTGCAAAACAATATTTTATAAAATAGTTCAAAATATGAGTTCAACTGTTGAATGACTGAAGACTTTATTTATATAATATGTAACCAACAATCTTTGTAAAATTGTCTAACTTTAATTGCATTGTACCATATTTCATTAGGTATCAAAGCCAATACTTAATTTTACAACATAAATGATAAAGTAACAAACAAAAAAATAACATCTATTAATTCAAGATTATGAATCAAAATTCTTTTGTGTTAATTAGTAGTATATTTTTTTATAAAACAAWAAAACTAAAACGTACAATTTTGTGCAAAATATTACTATCTTACAATGTTTGACAACCTTTTTTTTAAGATATTGAAGAAGTAATTTTGATTTTTTCTTTTTGGTACTGGAAAAACTTTTGAAGATTAAGCTATTTAACCTAGAGAAAACCAATGGGTGTTTATTTTAAAAATTGTATATGTTCTTAACTCTTTAAAATCAAAATATAACAATAACTTTCAATGATAAAACAATAATCTGATTCTTTAAATTTGGTATGGTATGTCGATTCACAATTATTTAACATTACAGGATAAAACAAAATATTCAAATTTTAATTTTTTTATCATTTATTTTTCAAGAAGATAATGGACTCCCACTGTTTAAATTGAAATATACAATATCTTATTAGTTATTATATAGTTGTTTATACTCGACATTTACATGTATACCATATGTCAAAATGTATTATACCATTTTCTTAATTTGTACAATAAAATCTATTATTATCTTTGTTCAATGGATTGTTAAATTTAAATGCTATRTGCAGATTTATCTTTTRGGCTATTTTTATTTTTTATTTTTTGTAGTTATAGAAATATAAATATTACAACGAATAAACCTGCGGTCACCCGTGATGATCATTTACCCGACATTTTGTAATAGTGAGTGTTGATGCCGCAAAATTATCCTTCCTGAATATCAAAACTTTTATTATGATTATATTTTAACACGTTGGCCACCAGACTTGATTTTAAAAATATTTTTTTATTTACGATGAGTATCACCCGTGACTCAAAAAATATAAGTTTTCTTGGTTATTGAATTCTACATAACTTTAAGAAAACGAAATACCTGAGAGTCACCAGCAACTCACACGATACACACATGACAATTTGTGAGTCCCCTGTGACTCTCATGGTACATAACCAGAGATCGTCAAAATGATGTCTATTGTATCATGGTGTGAGACAACTGTGATACTCATGGTAGCCAACGTGTTAAATGTGCATGCAGATTGGACGTGTTCCCAGAAGTTGGGCAAATCTTACCCCAGGCTTAACATTTGGCCGACAGTAAACTCATTTGGTTAAAATGTTGCCACACTTACTTATTTTACCCATAGATGATGGATAATAAAATATAACACTGTRTAAAATAAATTGCGCACAACAAAAAGAATTTTAGTAATTAAGACTGCCAATGAATTTAAATGGACAATGTGTAGCAATCCAGGGAAAATCTGGGAACTAGCAAGGTGCAAGTTGCAAACRTATAATTGTATTTGCTATTTAATTATTATTACACAGGACAAATTTGTGATTCTAATGTAACCATATTACTCATCATCTAGACATCAATAAAATGTTGCTTTAAAATATCACTGGCAATTCCAATTTTAATAACTATAAATTATAAATATAATGCTATAACAAATTCATATTCATTTCATCTGTACTTCAACTAATAAAAACAATAAAGTTTTCATACTATACAAATCTATAGGACTTTTATATTATGCAATAACATTTGGAAACTGATTAGTTAAATAAATATTAATTACTAAAATATTTAAATTTATGCAGGAATGTAATATTAATTATTATCATATTGTCACTTATCAGTTATGGTAAATAATATCAGATATTATTATTACGTCCAATCAGCAACTTTGGACAGGACAGGAGAAATTGTCAAAAAAATTATTTTTTCACTGGAAATACATCACTGTGTATATTAAAACCATGTATTTATCGATATTATAGACCTATGCCAAACAGGAGATTAATTTAAAGTCAAAAAAAATTTCATTTTAATATATGAAATTGCGATTTATCGATAATTGAATATTTATCGAAGTCCTCAAGCGATATAAAAATATCGATATATCGGATGAAGTTATCAATATATCATTGCCATCCCTGAAACGGCTGGAACCACGACAGTATAAACTATAAATTTATTTTTAATCTACTTTATGTCTATGATGTAATCGGTAACGGTTGCACATACAAAACTCATTTTCAATATAACCTTACAATCAAATTTGTTATTTTGTTATAGTATATTTTACTAGTAATATACTAATATATCATAAAGCCATGTGTAGTATATTTTATTTTAATATATTATATAATGAAAATTATCTGGCATATATAAAAATCCATTCGCGTCCCATTCTAAGAGATATCAAAGAGTTGTATTTTTAATAAATTGTACAACGATGTGGTGATATTGATTGGATAAACAAAATGCTAGGGGAATTTTCTCTATAAAAACAAAAATATGTGTTTTTAGAAATTAGTACAACTATGAGGTATAAGTCTTCCATTTTAAATGGAAATTAAAAATGTATACCACACGAGGTTGCTAATAAGCAGAGCTCGGAAATTTATGGTAAAAAACAATAAAACATTGCATACGTATGCACCAAAAAAGCGCAAATATGTTGTTTAATTTTGTGTAATTATTTTTTTTTTTGAACTTTTAATGATAAAATAATCATAAGAGCCAAACATATTTAAAATATGAATTAAAAAATTTGTTCATGGTATTTGTAGCGAACACATTATAATTTGGTTCTAGTGGTAAGGTGTGAAATGAGTATAGTATATCCGGCGCCATAGAAACGCTTTTAACTTATTTCATATTTTTTTGTTTTAAATTAGCTTTAATAATTTAATATTAAATATTAACAACGGTACCAAATGTTACAGGCCTTGAATAATATACCTTATGATCTAAATTCTAAGGTATATTTTGTTAGTTGCTGTCATTTGCCGGTATTTTAGGGTGACATTGATAACAACTTCCATACCATTGATTATTTTAAATTTTGGTATTCACTATTCACTATTTGGCATTGGCATTCGATAATCATTAATCAGTATAATCTTGACTAGACAATGTTACATATTATGTTGTGACTTGTGGTCTATCGTCTATAATAGAATAGCCGACATATTTCATACTTCCACGTTACTCGTTTCATAGTGCATACTAAATCACTAACGATTGGATGTTACCGGCATGCTGTAAAAGTAGTTATTAATTGAGATCACATTTTGTTGTAGACTTGTCTGTTAAACGTTAAAATTCTGTTTATAAAGTTATTGTATTGTAACTATTAATTATTTGTCTAATCATTTCTCGCTTATATTTATTTATAAATCTACTTGTTCGTCAGTGAAGTGATTGGTTTTGTCATCATCATTTTCGATCTTCAAACTAGCCAAGGTGTGTATGGGGTTATTAATCAATCATTATTTACTTTACTAAATTATTAAATAAAGATTATATCATCAATAATTTTCGGTATGTTTACAATTTTCTAAAGATTTATGAATTTAGCATTTTTGATGTCCTATACAATTTCAATAATATTGTTATTTTTATTAATTTATCAATAGCCTAGATATTATACCTATGATTWTAACTATTATTTACTGAAAAAAAAAATGATGAGTACCTAATTAATAATTATATTATTATAGAATTGTTTTACGTTTTACTTCACAAAAATACTATAATTTTATACATTTATACAAGTTTGAATTGATTTTGATATCAATATGAATGTTATTTTTACCTAGTGTAAAATACTTTTTACATTTACATAGATTATTGTTTTGGATCAAGCAATTACTCAATAATTACTAAGGATCCTAAAATTTTTTAATTCCACTTAGCAAAACTTAAATGAATTTATGCCATTACAATGTATGCCATTGTTTTAATGGCCATGTGTAAGAGTGTTAGACTGATACTATAAATAAATCATGTATTATATTAATTTTAAATACATAATATTACAGAAGTAAAATTAAAAAACAACTAGTAATTCATATCCATGGAACTCAAATCGGATATCAATCAACAAAACATTATTGAAGAAGTCAATACATTTTTATTTGATATGCCTTTAGAGTATTCTCTAGGACATTGCGTAGCTAAAGATATGCGCATGAGTGCTGGTATCGCTGTATATTTCAAGTAATTGAACAATAATTTTAAAGACAAAATATCATATGTGGTTAATTTTTTCAATTATTTAATAACGAAATTTAATTTAGGAGAATGTTTGGACGAGTTGGCGAATTGATGGACCAAAGACCAAATGTTGGGTCGGTGGCGTATTTGCAACATAATAGTAGATTTATTTACTATTTAATTACAAAAGAGTATAGTAATAGCAAACCAACATACAGTACTATAACTGCGGCAATTAAAAAATTTCGTGATTTTGTTGTGAAACACGGTGTTAAACTATTAGCTATCCCACGTATTGGTTGTGGTCTAGATAAATTAGACTGGTCAATAGTAAGAGGCATTATTGTAAATGAATTTCAAAATGCAGGATGTACAATCAAAGTTTGTCATTTTACACATGTAATTTTACATAATTTGTCTTTAATAGCATGCGATATTACCTATGTAATATATTTACTGATGTTTTAATTTTTTACAGAATTTTTCAAAAGAGTCAGAATTAATTCGAATTGAACATCCAAGTACTATAAAAGTTCATAAAAATATCAAAGATATAGAAAAGCGAGAATTTGAGAAACTGAACATTATATTATATTCTCGGAGTACTTCTTTACCATTGTATTGGGATCAACATTTTCAATCAGTCGATGAAAAATACAGCTTTAAGTCACAATACTATGAAGATTATAAGGTAGATCTTAAAGTTGGTCAGTGTTTACATTATAGMAGAGTAGAAGCCAACATATTTGTCATCATCACAAACACAACTACCACAGATCATTTTTCTTACCAAAACTTGGAAAAAGGACTTTTAATAATAAAAATGTTGATTGAAAAGGATCAGCAGTGTCATCCAACATTTATAATACACACAATTGATAATCATACATTTGAAAATCTTCTAAATAAAAAAATTGTATCCCTAATGTGTTCTGCGTTTTTAGATTTGACTCCGTGTGTGATTCTTCAAATAGAAAGTAGTAAATCACAAACAAATTAAAGTTAACAAAATATACTTATGCCGAGCTTAAATATCATGGAACATACATATCATAAATCAATGATGAATGTTATTTATACTGTTATTATATTTATTTGTCTTATTTTATAATTTGAATTTAAAATTTATAGTTAAATATAAAATTTTACTCAGTATACAGTTTTTCTTATTTTTATTTACGTTTAGTTTGGCTAGATGTAGCTCGCAAAACTGCACCTGGACTGGGGTATGGTCGCATTTGAAATAGTGGTCCTGAGGCTGTAGTGTCCACACCTGACTTAGCTTCAACAGTTAGACCATCACTCCAAGAACCCCTATAGGTAAATAAATAGTTAATAAAATAATAGCATGTAAGTGTAATATATTTAAATACTATAATACATAAACACTACACTGATGATAAACTAATGCAATAACTAATAACATTTTAAACATTAACAATCCATACTTCATTAACATAAAATATTACCTGGAAATATCTGAATAAGCAGCTGGATCCATTGGATCAAGATCATTRGCTTTTGTTACTCTTCTTGGAGGATCTTTACGTTTAGGTTCACGATCATATCTCACTTCTTTGGCCCGGATTTCTTGAACAGGTGGTGGCATAGGATTCTTTTTTCTTTGAATTTTTTTCCTTTCATCTTCACTATCATCACTACTACTCTATAACAATACCAATATAAAAGATAAATTCCTAAAGCTCCAAAAAGTATTTTCTTAAGTTTTTATTTATTTATTATTTAAGCTATACTTGATATTCGTTAAATTTGAAAATCGAAAAATAATTAAAATTATAGGAAATTCTATATTTACATGTTAAATATTTATAAAAATACAAAATTTATCTCAATTTATCTAATGTGTTCAGAAATTGTGGCAGGTTGAACATAAAAATTTGTAATGTTGATATAAATATAAAATGAAAACATCAAAGACTACAATAGTTAAATAATAATTCAATTAATTACCTCTGAATCTGAAGTCTTTTTATCCATATTTTGCATTATAGCATGACGTTCGAATCGAAATTGTGCAACAGAATCAGTAACAATTGAACGAGGGTGGCTTGGTGGTAGCCAGCAAACTGAATCATTTACTACATCCCAGTAATAAAATCTGCCACTGAATGTAAAAAAAATAAAATTTTATGTATAAATAAAATACCTAATGAATTGTTATTCAATATTTCTTTTGAAATCAATTAATTTTTGAAGTAAAACTTCCTTCTTGAGGTGAGGGTGGAAAACAAATCATAACAAAAAATGAAACACAACAATTGTTGTAATAGTGATAGTTGTTACACCTTGGTTGTTTTTAAACAAATATACACATATACAGGGTGTCCTGTGAGTATTTATCCATTACGATATCTCACAAAATAATGGAGACATCAAAATTCTGGTAAGACTCACAGGGATAATAAGAACTATAATTATTTCATTTTTTAATATATATTTTAATGTTATGATAAAAATTTAAAAAATATTTTCTTTATTTAATTATTTCCAAAAAAATTAAAGATAGCCATTTTGTAAAATTTATTTTTCTGAAAATATTGATGTTTCAAAATTTTTTTTTCATTTATTTTTATTTTCTAATTTTTAAAATTTTTTCTAGTTTTAAAGAGATAAATTATGATTACAACTAGGCACACTGAAAGTATCCAGTTGGCCATTTTAGAACAAGTGCGGCGGGTCACATGTTTGATAACACTAGTGTTAAATAGTTGGCAAATTTTTTGAAACTAAAATTTTGAAATGTCAATATTTTCAGAAAAATAAA